TATATATAATATGAATATCATGACAAAAAAATTATATATTGATATGACACTATCTTACTAGGCCTCAAAAACAAATTACTAAGAGGCACCATAGTCCACAACAAAAAATCTTCAGTTAGTTTTGATTCTATGACTCTGGTTCTGTTAAGTGAAGGTTAAGTACGTAAAGGTAAGAATGATTCCCTTTCTTGTTTTTATTTTTATCAAGATTTTTCTTTTTTTATTTAAAAAAAAATCTCGAATTTGCTCATTGGAGAGTTGGACTGCACGCATCAAAGAGTTGGGCTGTGCACGGCAGGATGGAGATGTGTCTGTTTTGTAAGTGTTCACAATGGAAACGTGTCCGATTTGTGTAGACGCAATCCGTGGCGCAGCTGCTCCAGAAAAGTGTCGGACAACAACAGTGTCTGTGCATCATAGGTGGTTTTACAGGATAAGGAGGGTAAAAGTTCAGACTGCTAGTTTTACTGTTCTATGGTGAATTTTGTTTGAGTGGATTCCCTCATTTTCAAGGAAACCTCTGTACCCCTTGGTGTATTGTTGGACAGGATTATTTTATTTGCTTATATTTGGCACCCTGCTCATGGGTTTTTATAGAGGTGTCTTAATCTGCAATATGCGGAGAACTATAAGTATTTAACAGCCTTGTTGCACTCTCGAGTTATGAGTTTTGTTGTTATTTCAGTTTTTAAATTAGTTTTTTCTTCTCTGGAGGATTTCTTATCTTTCCCACAATTTTTTTTATCTTCTCTCTAATATTAGTTCTTTTATGAAAGAATAAACACTTGTTGTGGATTGCATATTTGTTACCATGGCTTCTTTAATTGTTTGACCTTCTATAAATGCTACAAAATCTAATAATCAGTTTGTACCTGTTACTAATAGATATGTGCATGAAGAAGTTGACTAAAGATTCCTAAGTAACTGTTTTATGGAAATAATCTTTGTGCATCTTTCAATCATATTTGCAGTCATGGATACTACCATAACTTTCTTGGTAACCATGCTCACTTACATGCAGGAAGCTTAAAAGGGCATGATTTCCATCAACAGAGTCTCCATATTGGGTTGAAAACCGAGCAAATTCTGTTTGAGTATACAAAAACAGCCTTGTGTTTCTGTGTTGAATACAACATCTATATTCCTTTTATTCTTTGTAGTTCCTCCTAATTTCTGATATGGGAAAACAGAAACCAAGTGTCAGAGAGGTTCACCATTCCCATAGCCCCAAAAGAAGTCTCTGGTGGTTCTTTCTTGTAGCTACCTGCATAAAAGTTCTCCTTTTCCCATCCTACCGTAGTACAGATTTTGAGGTGCACCGCAACTGGCTGGCTTTGACCCACTCCCTCCCTCTTTCCCAGTGGTACTTTGACGAGACAAGTCCATGGACTCTTGATTACCCACCATTCTTTGCCTATTTTGAACGATTTCTATCCATCTTTGCTAACCTCATTGATCCCCAAATAGTGCACCTTCAAGAAGGCCTGAATTATAGCTCAAACAAGGTGGTTTATTTCCAAAGAGTTACTGCAATACTTTCTGATTTGTCTCTTCTTTATGGGGTTTACAGACTTACTCGGAATCTAGATTCAAGAAAGCAGAAGTTGATCTGGTCATTGATTGTTTGGTCACCAATGCTTTTTATAGTGGACCATGTGCATTTTCAGTACAATGGATTTCTCATTGGGATTTTGTTGATCTCACTTTCATATTTAGAGGAAGGAAGGGATTTGTTAGGTGGGTTTGTTTTTGCTGTTCTCTTGTGCTTTAAACATTTATTTGCAGTGGCGGCGCCTGTTTATTTTGTTTATTTGTTGAGACACTATTGTTGGGGTGGAATGATAAGAGGCTTCAGTCGACTTTTGATTATGGGAGGAGTGGTTACAGCAGTATTTGCATCTGCATTTGGACCATTTTTCCACCTTGGGCAGGTAAATGCAATTTTTATGCCTTGACTCCGTATTTTAGGTGTTTGTTGGTTTTCAGTAGAAGTAACAAATAGATGGATTGGATAATTTTTTAGGTGGACCATAGTGGATTGGATAAAAATATTCCATTAATCTATTTAGATCCATTAAAAATTCACATAAATCCAATCCATTTAAAGCAAAAAATTCATCCAATTCATCCATTAACAATTTTTTCATGTATGGATATCCAATCCATCCATAAAAGTAATGTTTTAAAAGTTAAGTAATTTTAATTTTTTAATATTTTATTTCTCTTTTTTATTTATAAGTCATTTACATTCTTATATAGTCTTTTAAAATCTCAATCCAATAAACATCCCATATGTAATCCAATAGATTTTGAAAAGGTAGTGGATGGATCATCAACCATCCATAAAATTAAATGGATGGATTAGATTCGATCCATTATTTATTTTTATTGTAATGGATGAAGTTGATGAATTTACTTGTTGATGGATTGGATGGGTGATAGATGAATTGATTCATTTGCCATCCCTAGTTTTCAAAATGTGGAACGATAAGTTGATCTATTTTGTTTTCAACTTGTTGAGTAATGGAGAGCAAATTGGGTGCTAATACTGATATAGCCACATAATATGCACAGAGTGTTCTTTTATATGTCAAGGTTGTGTTGTGCTGCATATCTTCTAATGTAGATGTATGGAGTCTTGATCAGGTTGTAAAAGAAAACATTTATTTTTCATTTTTTATAATCCTTTTATGTGTTAGAATTTGTTGGGAGAATTATTTGGTGTATGTAGGTGGCATGGAGAATCACTTTTTAGCGGATAACCTAATAGCCCACTACGTTAGATTCGTGGTGTTATATGCATCTGGAATTTTCTTAAAGTCTTTTGTTTTTTGTTTTTGTTTTGAATCATGATTAATGTCAAGGATTTCAAGGTAACACAATTGTTTTGTTATGTGGTTGTTTCTTTGTAAAAAACATAGCTTGACACTTCGGCCATTTGGATGAATGATAAGTGTTTTCAAGGTTGAGGTCTTTGGACCAAATATCAATGACTAGATTTAGTGAGTATGATAGTGTTAGGGTTATTGGTCGATCTGTTTATGGGCTATATTTATCAAGAGGAGGGTTATATCTTTTTGTTGTTTTTTCATCTGTTATTTACACACAACTCCACATTGGTTTGATAATGTCCATTTTGGGGTTAAACTTTCATGATTTTGCTTTTTATCATCATCCAAAAGGCCTTTAACCAATGGAGTAAGTGTCTACTTTATAAACTTTTGTTTCTAATTTTGCTCTAGTGATGTGAGACTTGGTTTGCATTTCAACAATCCTCCCCTCAAACAAAGGACCTAACCTCTTATTCAGTGGAACCTATCTTTGTATTGACATTTGTATCATTGTTTTTTGTATTAGTTATTGGTTTTCACCGAATCCAACTAGACTTTAATACCACTGTTAGGGATATTGGGTCGATCTATTTGTGGGTTATACTTATCAAGAGAAGGATTATATCTTTTTGTTGTTTTTTCATCGGTTATTTACACACTTCACATTATTTGATATTGTCCACTTTGGGTTAAATCTTTACGGTTTTCCTTTTGGTTGTCATCCAAAAGGCCTATAACCAATGGAGTATGTATGTGTTTTATGAACCTATGTTTCTCCTCTTATTCTAGTGATGTGGGATTTGGTTTACATCCAAACAGATAGAAGTAAAGGGGCCAATTGTTTTGTGGATGGTTAGTTATCCTCCAAATTCCTTGCAACTTTCTTCCCTTCTGGCCTCTGCTTTACAAATTTTCTTCTAAAATTTAAAAGAAAAAATAAATGGATGTTTCCTAGTTATGCAGGATTCTGGGAAGGGAATATATATTTAGAATTATGTGAGAGCTATGCTCTTTCTCCTTTGTTCTCTCTCTCTCTCTCTCTCTCTTTCTTGCTTGTTTAGATAAGGGGTTTTACTGTAGACTGTTATGAAATATGACAGTTCTCTAGTGGACAGCTTATATGGTAGAAATTGCCTGTTTATTAGTGTTGGCGTTGCAATGAATCATCTTCAAATACCTTCCTCACATGTCAGAAAACAAGTGAATTATTTAATCTTGGAAATTTGAATACCACATTATTCAACTAAATTAAAAGCAGCAAGGTCCACCAGTTCAAACCTGTACTAGAATTAGGGGGAATTAACCAATCTGAATGGTTATTACTATTATGAGAATGCTTATTAGTCCTTCTCCACTAGTTTTGACTTTTGTTGAATTGTTGATGGTCCTTCCCACTCATTTTTTGCTTATAACTATGAGATCCTAGTGCCAAACACCACTGAAGCTGAAGTAAAAAATAGAATCATACTTTAGTTAGAACATGTTTTCTCCCATTTATTCCATATTTTCCTACTTAAATACCTATAATTTCAACAGTTATTTACTAAGGTCCCGTGTGAATGCTTGACAAGTGACAAAGCTTTTGACTGCTAACTAGAAATTAAACACTCAAAGATCAGAAGGTTGAATGGGGTAAAACTCAAACTCATTAGTAGAAGCCCTTTCACTGTACCAAAACAAGAAGCAATAAATTAAATCTAGAGCAAATAGCCACAAAAAATACTGCTGCAGCCTGCATGAATAGAGTAATATTACCAATTATGAATGATCAACTTTGCATGCTCAAGTGAGCAGGAATAGCTTTAATTGCCCTTTGTTAGCTTCTTGTATTCAGTTTCCTGTGTAAAAGAAAAGATATTTCATATGCACTCATTGCATTATTGATTTCTTATTGATTATTCAAATTATCAATTGCAGATACAACAAGTCATTCAACGGTTGTTTCCATTTGGCAGGGGGATTTGCCATGCTTACTGGGCCCCAAATTTTTGGGTATTCTATATCATGTCAGACAAAGGGCTTGCTTTCATATTCAGAAAACTTGGGTTTAGTATCCAGACACCGACAGCTTCATTCACCGCTGGTCTTGTAGGGGATTCCTCGCCATTTTCTGTATTACCTCAGGTAAGATTTGCTTTTTGTGTTTTTTATTATCTGGATAAACTTGTTTGTTATTTAAACCAATAAAAAGAAATGTACTCACGGGATGTTGATGTGGATCAAATATCAGAAAGGCCAAAGGAGCCCATTAAGTCAATAGGAAAAATGAGTCGGATGATTCTAGAATAAGTTTGTTATAGGAAAGTTGTTATTTGTTATTCTGTTTTGTTAGTGTTGCAGTTATGCATATTCCTTCTGTAGACTATTATATATAGACAAAAGGTATTACTGTAAGAAGGGGGAGAAGGAAAATATACAGACTCCTATTTCTTTGTCTTGATCTTATTTTTTAGGAGGTTGCTTTATCCTTTAATGCAGAGTATTCCCACTCTCAACAGATGTTGTGCTCTGGTTAAGCTGATCACATGCTTATATGGTTATGTCAAAACTGATGATTGAACCTTATTTGCTGTTATGCATTTCATATTCATTAGTACAAGGAGATGGAGGACGATGTTATATCATTTCTTTAAACTCATAATCATGCACCATGATTTGAAGTTTACATTTAATCTTGCTGAAAATATATAGCTGATTCTGATGGGACTGGGAGTAGGGGTCTGGACTTAGACGGGAGGCCCAAGGTTTGGAGGGTGTATGTTAGGAGGAAGTGTGGTGAGAAAAGTAAGGATGAGGTGGCAATGGATGTAACAGAATTGCCAAACATGATTAGAGCTAGGGTACATAGGAAATGATGAGATTAGTGAGAGAATCATCTTTCTAATTGTGAATTCTGTTATGGAGCAGGGGGCAGTAGCCTCTGTGTAGGAGCCTAGCTCTGTCACAGTTGGATTCATTCCTTCTGTATTTTCCTTTTTTCTGCAAATAATACAAATCATTCTCTATTCTGCATTTTCATTGCCTTATTTGTTTTTTGGTCTCTAACAGATTCACTGAATGATCCTTGTCCCATTTCTAAGAATAAAAATATGGATTACAAATACAATGTTCACATAACAACCATGACTTGGTTACTCAAAATCAGCACCTGTTTGACATCAAGTAATGATATTTATGAAACTTTATAATTGGTGGGAGAATGTATAATTCTCTTTTACATTTCACACCTAGGCTTCCATGGTGCTACTGTTCATATGACACCTGAAACTGGGCTTGATAACTGGTTATTTGAAATCTATGACTATGATATAACATCAACGATTAGTTATACCACTTTACTTTTCCTTATTCAAAAGTTTCATCAAAGCATTCATTTTTCCTATTTACTAATACGCAGATCACACCATTTGTGACCTTTATAATGGTGCTTCTTGCCTTATCTCCTTGCCTTTTCAAGGCTTGGAAGAATCCACAGCCACAGATGATTAGTAGATGGATAGCCTATGCTTATACCTGTGGTTTTCTTTTTGGGTGGCATGTGCATGAGAAGGCATCACTCCATTTTGTGATACCACTTGCCATTGTTGCAGCACAAACTCTGGAGGATGCAAGGCATTACTTTTTGCTGTCAATAGGTATGATTTTAATGCTCATTAATTTCTTTACCAGCTTCCAGTTCTTTTATTTTTCTTTTCTTTCCTCTTTTTTCTTCATTTTCTAATGATAGTAAAATTGAAAAAGGAAAAACTTGAAAAATAAGTAAAATGAAATAAAATTTATGAATAATGTTTGTATGCCGTAAAATACATGTGATTTTTAATAAAACTAGTGGAAAACACTAGTGATGTATGTATCCTTTGAAGACAATATTTCACTAAATGTGTTTTTTTTAATAATAGTTTGCCAATTTCTTGTAGTCTTGCAAATAGGCCCTTCCTATGCAATTGTTATAGGTTTCTGTGCATAATTCTCCATGTATTGTAATTTGTGCCCTAGGTGTATATAGATTTGTCAGATGCTAGGTTCATATATCTTGTTCCCCCTATCAAAATCAATCAAAACAAATAATAAAAACATTTTTAAAATCAGAAAATGAAACTGTGAAAACCTTCAAAATTCAAAATAGTAGTCTTATTAATTCATTGCAAGAGATATGATTCAATTAGAGTGGCCTGTGAACTGAGATCTGTTGGTTCAAGGGTCCTCATTCGCCATCCATAGCACACCCATAGCACACCGGGGCCTATGTGCTTCTTCTCGAAGTTCTTTCCCCGTGAACTTAACACCATAGATTGTGTCATGAGATTCATAAATCGTTACAAGTCATTAAAGAAAACGCAGTCTTTTATTATTTCCTCTCATTTCTTTCCTTTTGCTTTTCCACATAACCAAACAACTGAATGTGGACTGTGCTTGGACATTTGGCCACCTAGCAATGTACTAGGAAGTTGTCCGGAGCAACTATTCTTTACGTTATATTCTAACTGTCTTGTTGAAAGCATGTGCTTTGAGGGCATTACCAGGTACTTGGTGCACACAAGAGTAAATAAGATGTTATTGCTAACTTGAATGAATTAATATATTTTTTTTATTTGATCCACCTTATTTGGGCTCGAGCTGGGAAAGACTACTAAGGATGACAAAATGTAACATGATGACTTGAAATACTAAAGGCCATCATTGAATCATTTTAGGTGTCTTTAATCCCTAGTAAATGTAACATTTTAAAAAATTGTAATTGATAAAAAAAAAAAAAAATTATAGGACAAGTAGTGCTGGGCTTAGCATATTTTTCTTTCACTTTTCTATTTCGTGCAAAATATGTTCAGAATCAGTTTCTCTTTACTTCTCTGCTACAGTTTTCTTTATACTGCTGAGATTAATATTTTCATAACCAACTATGGTGAAGATCAAGTGTACTTGTGAGGCAAGCAACTATTCCTATGTTGCACAACATTAATCAAACAGAATAGATGTATTAAAATAAATCTATCGAAACAATTATATTTTCCTGGTCTTCGATTAATTTGGTTGTATGTTTGCCATTAAAAAATGTTTTTAATGTCTGAGAATGTTTTTGAATGTCAAAGAAACAAAAGTTGCAAATTGCAGCATTTGGTATCGGTGCTATTCTTTTCATTTTTTTTTTATTTCTTAAAATTTACACGTTACTTGTGTTTGCAGTATCTTGCTATTCAATTTTTCCACTACTATTTGAGGCACAAGAGTATCCGATCAAAGTTTTGTTGCTGCTTCTGCACTCCATTTTGATGTGGTCAGGCTTTTCTGCACAATTTTATGATGGAACTGAAGGTAATTCGGGTGCAACTATGAAAAAAGGTTTTGTTATTGGCTGGGTTGAGAGGATTTATCTGATAGGTCTTGTAGTTATAGAGATATGGGGCCAAATTTTACACCCCCTACTTTTGGGTGATAAGTTTGCATTTGCACCCCTCATGTTGATCTCCATATACTGTGCATTTGGGATCATGTACTCTTGGATTTGGCAGTTAGTATACATAGTTAAATCTCTTTAAATTTTGGACTGTCTGCAGTTGTTATTGGATTTTCTTTTATGAACTTTATATGCGGAATGTCAAGAGTCAACCTTTGATTTAATATTTAATTAAAACAAGTCATTGTTTGGCATGAATATCATTAATCCATAGTTGGAACATTTATTTGATCTTGTCTCAATAGGCAACATAATTAGGTATTGTCCACGTTATACCTTGTTGCTTTTGTAGGGTGACATAACTGGTGGCTAAAGGGTGAGGTGAATCCTCTAGTCAGTAGTTGTTTGGGAGGTCCCCCCTGCCTTCTTGGGGCTATGTGTGTGCTTGAGTGGATGGTAGATTATAGCCTTAGGATAACTTATTCATACTATCTTTTTTAACGCAATTTGACAAGAATCAAAGAATAAAGATAGTGTCCCAAGAAATTGTGCCAAAAGAGTGAAGATAAAGTCGACAACGACGCTAGACTAGGTTCATATAGGTTAATCGCAATGCGACAGATTTATTAACCACAATCCTTAGAAGATGGGAGTGTTTGAGCATTGCGCTATTATTGCGCAGCCTCCTCATCTAGAAACCCTACAATTTGCTGTATCTATAACTTAATTGAATCTGCCTGATACGGATTATACTGTTGTCTTCTTTAGGCTGTGTTTGGTAAGAAAAATTGTGAAAAATAGAATTGAAAAAAGAGAGGAGAGAAATAGGAAAAAGAGTGAATAAAAATATGAGAAATAGAATCTATACTAATAATAAAGATATATTTTTATGGTGGATACATACTGTTAGACTATTTTGTCCTTATAAGTTTATAATTATTTTTTTTTTAATTTTGTTTCTTTCTCTCTTCTTTAATTTACTGTAAACTTCTCGTGTCTTTTTAACTAACTACCTATTGTATTATCTTTTTTCTGTTTTTTAAAATTAAAGAGATGCTTTTTTCTTCTTAGTGAAAATAAGTGTTTGATTTAAGAAAAATGGCATGCATAAAATAAACAGGGAATTAGAAATGAGAACAAGTTAATTGCACTCACATGATTATATAGCTTTGATGTATGTGTGATTCACCGGTGCAATTAATGTTTTTGGCACAAATTGTTAGTGATCAGCTAACAATAAGGCCTAAGCTAGGTGAGTCGTGTGTATTTTGCGAATACCGTTTGAGAGCCATCATTATGTCTCTGTACAAGGACGAAGTCAGGATTTTATCATAGCAAGGGCCAGAATAAAAATTAAATTTCTTTTAATAATATATAAATATGATTTTTATATAAAATATTTATAATTATGTGTTTTCTAAAATAATATTAGAATATTTAATAGAAAACATATTTACCTATACAACACATTAAAATGTAATATTTTAAAAGCCCTTGATTACAACTCTTAATCATCAGTTTCATCTGTCAAGAAACTCATCAATTTGTAATAATAATTGTTATTCACATTAACCCTAATTTTTTACAAAAAAGTCCTATTATGTAATAAAAATCTACCAAATTGAAATGAATTATGTTACTAGCTGAACTATCTTTTATTACAATAATAGTTAATAATTATTAAACAAAAATTTACCTTTGATTGTTAAGAGGGACAAATAAATTCATTTATTCATCATTCATATGATCTATCTAATATATTCATTACAATAAAAATAAATAATGAATTAGATTTAATTCATCCATTTAATTTGATAGATAATTAGTTATTTATTCACTACTTTTTCAAAATTCATAATTACCATGTGAGATGTTTATTGGATTGAAATTTTCAAATACTATTTTGACATTAAAAAAAAATCTTGTAAAAGAAAGAGAGAAATAAAATATTTAAATTTTTTTAAAAACATTACTGAATTGAATATGCATACATTAAAAAATTGTTAATGGATGAATTTTTCGTTTTAAATGAATTGAGTGGATTAAATTTTTATGTGAATTTTTAATGGATCTAAATGTACTAATAAATTATTTTTATCCAATCTATTATGATCCACCTAAAAAAGTTATCTAATTCATCAATTTGTTACCCCTAATTGTTAGAAAATAGAAGAATAATATTACATCATTTAGTTAGCATCAACAATATGAGATGAGAAACACCAAAAATGTAATTGATGATAACAAATCTCAACGTTTAAGATGTTAATCTCTTATATAGGTTTCATTTGGAAGAACTTATGAACTTATTTGTATTTATTTTATTTTATAAGTGCTTATAAAAGTGTTTAGAAAAATTAATAAAATATTTTATGGGAGTAATCCATAAGATATTGAGTTTATTTTAATAAATTGTCCAGTATAACTTATTATATAACTTGTGTGAGAACTTGTTGAAAAATACTCATTTATTTTATTTTTATTATTATTGTGATATATAATATTATTTTTAAAAGTTATTTAGTTTCTTTTTAATTTTATATTTTATTTTCAGTCAAGATAATTAATTTGTAATTTTTTAATTTTTAAAATCAGACATCTTATTAGCACTTAAACAATAATACATCACAAATTTTTAAAATTACATAAGTGTTTATTAACAAGCGTATTCAAATGCGATAACTTATTAAATTTTAAACATTTATAGTATAAAATTTTATAACATAAAACTTTAATTAAGTTATTTATCCAAATGGACTCATTGTGTTAGTAACTTTTTCTCATGGATAAAAATTAATAAATAACTTTCAATTCTAAAATTAATTTATAATCACATCAATATAAGAAAAAATTAATGAAGTTATTTCAATGCAAATGTAATTATTTATAACCTTTAAAATTGTAAAATTAAAATATAAAAAGAAAAATAAGTTACACACAAATAGTTTGTCTCAAAAAAAGGAAAATACAATCATTTTCACAATAAAAACTTTACATAAAATAACTTGTTAAAAATAGGGGAAAAAATAACAATTAATATTATTTGATTTTATGATTGTCAATTTTTATGGTAAAATATGGACATGATCAAGACATTTTATCTTTAAATTTTTTAATTAAGAATCAAATAGCCAACCTTAAATGTTTTACTTCACTCCAACCTATTTGAGTTTAATAGCCCACATGCACGAGTAGGGGTGGGCAAAAAAAACTAAACTGAACTGAACTGAACTGAACTGGTGGTGAACTGTACTATAAAAAACTGAACTATTTGTAAAAAAAATTGAATTGAACTGTTTAAAAAAAACTGAACTGAACTGAACTGTTGTAAAGTTGAACTGTATTGAACTATAAAAACTGAACTGAATTATAAAAATTGAACTATTTTTATAAAAAAATAAAAATAAAATGTGTTTAACATGTTATGTCTTAATAGATTAGCTCGATAGTTTAATAACCAAAATTTTAGAAAAAAAGTGATTTGAAAAAAAATTGTATCAATTTTGTTGAACTTAACGGATCAATTGAGCTATGTTGAACTACTTATTTTTAGGCTTAAAATTCACTGAGTTTGTTTGACTTAATTTTATATTTTTTTCCTTTGAAAAATTTAAATAAAATGGAAAATAAAGTAAAGTTGACAAATGTGTCCTATTTTGATAGATCAATGAGTCAAAATTGTTCAATTCAAAATATCATAACAGTTTAGTGCAGTTTAAATTGCAGTTCAGTTCAAGTTTTTATAGTATAGTTCAGTTCAGTTCAATGACACAAAAAAATAGTTCAGTTCAGTTCGTCTGAACTAATATTTAGTTTAGTTCAGTTCATATGAACTACTTTTAAGTTCAGTATAGTTTTTATAAGTTCAGTTCAGTTCGTTTAAATTGCAGTTCAGTTCAAGTTTTTATAGTATAGTTCAGTTCAGTTCAATGACACAAAAAAATAGTTCAGTTCAGTTCGTCTGAACTAATATTTAGTTTAGTTCAGTTCATATAAACTACTTTTAAGTTCAATATAGTTTTTATAAGTTCAGTTCAGTTCAGTTCGTTTTGCCCACCGCTATGCACGAATGTCTCTCTCCAGCTTCATAAATTACAAAAGGTGGAATTGGACTCTCAAACACCAGGTTAAATGTAAGCTTTCATACCAATAAGTCACTGCTCCCTTTTCCTTTTCATGTGACTTAAAAGCATTTTATTGTATGTCTAGATATAAAAATATATTTATGGCTATGTTACTTTATTTTAATGTATTTTTTCATATAAAAAATTTAAAAGTAATTTTATATTCAGGTAATTAATACTTTAACAACCATTAAAATAACATGATTTATTATTATACAATTAAGTAATTTATATAATATGCTTTTAATTTAAAATTATATATTAGTTTGTGATTCAATAATATTATATTGAATGAAAATTTAGACTTTTTAAAGATATGATATAAACTTTATTAAAATTTATAGGTATGAAATATATATATATGATATGAACATTTTTTTAAAAAAATATAATGGAAATCGGGTAATGCAATTCAATAAATGATCCATCGATTCATGACTCATTGATGCAATAACTTAAACTAATTTTAACATTGATTTGGTTTTTAAAACATTACTTAAAAGATTATTAAAATTCTTTCTTTTGAAAACCTACATCTAAAACATTTTAAATTCTTAAAAAAAATTAAATTAACCCATTAAAATATCCTACCTAAACACACTCTAAACCTTATAAAGAAAACCAATATTCTTTCCCAGACTTAGAGAATAGAGAGCATAAAATGGTATTGTGATGGGGAGGACATTTGTGGGTTGAAAGTGAGGAAGTGTTAGAGGAGATTGTCCATTCAAAAAATTTAGAATAATTAATTTCTCTCATTTTCTTCCTTGTAAATAGAAATTAAAATATCTAAGAACAGAAGAAGTCAATGAAAGTGAAAATAACACAACACAAGGGGTAGGGAATTAGATTAGTGCGCGAAGACTCACAAGTATTTTCATAAAAAATAATTAAATTGAGATGTATAATCTCTCTATATATATAGTAAATAATTTTTTTTGGAAAAAATTTTAAATTTCGAATTGATTAAAAATAAGATAAATAAAAATTTATAAGTACAAATAACTTTCTTCATACAAGTTGATTTTTTATAATTAAGTTACACTTATAAGACCATAACCCACATTATAAAACTATTACTTTTCCTCCAAATTTTCTCACTAAAAGATTATTCCTATAAATTTTAAATTATATTTCACGTAATGTTAATATTTATATTGTTAATTATATATTTCGTACATGTTATACAAAAATAAATAAATAAATAAATAAATAAATAAAAATATATATATATATATATATATATATACATTTTTTAAAATAATTAAATTGCCTAGTCATGCAATTATTAAATGGATATAGTTCGATTTACAAATAAATTTAAAATATAAATTAAATAAAAAGTTAAAAAAATTCTTAAAAATTATTTCATCGAAGAAAAACTCCTAAAACAAATTTTTATACAAGATAGTGATTCATGTTTAATATATAAGGATTTATTAAATAAAATTAACCTTTATATATAAAATGTGAATAATTATCTTACGACGAGGGCTTTTTTTAAGATTATTCTTCGACAAGAGCGTTTGTAGAATTATTTTTAACTTATATAATTAAATTTTATTTATTATATCTATTTATGAATTAAATCAACTATCAATCTTTATATATTAAATGCCTTACTATCTTCGCAAAAGTATTTTTAAGCACTATTATTTGACAGAAATGCTTTTAGAAAATTTTTTAAACTTTCTATCTAATTAATTCAAATTTTTTTATCATATTTATTTATGAATTAATTCTTAATATTTTAAAATAAATTAAAATTAATTATAAAATAAACTTGTGCCACCATGTAAATTATTTATATTATATATAAAACATAATTTATATATTTAAAACATCTATTTATATAAATTTTGAATATATTTTATATATTCAAATGTAATATTTATTTACATTCCTTGTATACACTTCCATTTAATGAGTGTGTTCATGTAAGCTACTTTCTTTATCCTTCTCCATCAGAAATTAGGCCAAACTACTGAAGGATTTGTTAATGGTGTAGTCTGGGTATTTAAAGCAAGCATATATAATTTGCCCATTTGATCCTAACGAGTCTGTTTTGCCAAAATTTATCTAAGGCTAAGTGGCGCAATGTCTAGCCGCTAGCAGGGTTCTCGAAATTCATGCTCGTGCTGATCCGATGCAATCCACAAAATTTACAATAATGCAATTTGAGCCACCATCGTGGATTAGAAATCAATAAAATTGTTTATCACGATGTTCATAATACATTTTAAAGTATCTTATATACGACCCCACTTCGTGGTGTACTTAGGATGAGGGATTTTGCAATTTTAAAGAATTTAAAATTTTTATATTTAAATTATTTTGATTTTAATTTTTATTATTATAAGAATATTTTGTTTAGATAAGTCAATTTTAAATTTTTAAAAATATAAATTTTTAGTTTGGATATGATAATTTAATTCCATCATGGTAAAATTGATTTTAAAAATTTATTCATATGTTAAGATTTTTAAATTAAATTTATAAAAATAAATACTAGTCAATTTTAAAATATTTAATAATTTTAAAATTTAATATTAGATAATGTTTAATAATTTTAAAAATATTTTTGAATATTCAATAATTAAAAGAATGAAGAGATAAGAAATAAGATAAAATGTATAAGTGAAATAAGAAAAACAAATATGAGAAATTTTAATTTCTTACTCTTTTTTAGAGAATTTGAAATTCTACTATTTTAAGAAATTTTACAAATACTTGAATTTTAATTTTTTTATAAATCTTATATGCAAACAAAGCATTTCACCTTAATGAATTTAAAATTTTTCAAATAAATAAATTATTTTATTTAAATTTCTCATTCAAATACACTATTAATGATATTGATTTTGAATAACCTTATACAAAAAAAAAAAAAACTCTAAATTCTCTCTATGGTTTTAAGAACTCTCAATTTTTTTTAGTAAATAAAAGAAGTTTTTGCTTTTAATATACTATAGTTAAAACAATCTGAACATATGGAGAATTTTAATAGAGTTAATCACCCATATCTTTTAAATGGTTTTATTTTATTTTTATTTCATTAAATAAGCAACTGACGTGACACTATTAAAAGATATGATTAGTTGTCAGTATAAAAAAACTTTACACTGACAATGTATAAATGATTAACTATTTTAATATATGTTTACCTATTTTCAATTTTATGTTTATAACAATAATGAAATTAGCAACGATTTTTTTTTAAGAATCATTTAGTCTAATAGTGAGAAATGAAAACAATAAATAGAAAGTTCTAAGTTTCTATATATATATATATATATATATATATATATATATATATATATATTATTGGAATAATATCTTAAACATACTTATGAGCATATTTTTTATTGGTTAAAATTTAT